CTACACTTTTGAATATGGTATGTGCTATATTTTAAGCAAAGTCTTTTTTTGCTTCTAATTAAAATTTGCTATATAATTGACAGCAAAGTATCTTATTTACAATTGGGTTCCCTATTTTGGTGTATTTTCCCTTTAGACGTACTTATAATTGATGAAAATATTTGGGATAAAATTTTGTCCTTAAAAATTGATTCTAAAAGAAGCATACTTTTTAAGGAGAAATTAAATGTGTACATTTTGTTTATTATAAAGGAATCAAACATAAGACACAATAAAGTTATGGGAGAGAGTAATTAAATATTGACTTAAAAAAATTATTCTTATTTTATCGGATCAAATTGTTTTCAGTCTTAGAAGATCTTCTATGGTAACTATTTTTTTATTAAAAAAATTAATGATAAAGTATAAAGAGTTATGAAATACTTATATAGCATTTGTTAATTTTGATATAAGCATATATTAAATTTAATGAGTATTTGATTTAAAAAAATGGCATGTGTGGAAGATATGTACAATAGACAGCATCGATTAATATTAGTAGAAGTTTAGGTTGACCAATGAGTTTTCACTAAAATGGGATTCTGTTGACCTCTGTTCTAATTTCATCTCATTATTAGGATTGTTTTTGGGGCTTATCCCAGTCATTTGATCACTTTGTGATTCCAAAATGGTTTGATGGCGACGCCCTTATAGCGCTTGAACCAATGAATCATTAGTCATCAAAATGTTGCAAAATAACTTCTTAAAATACCTCTAGAAGCCATCACTTCCTCAGCCTCATATGCCAATGTGAGGTTTGTCATGTGACCAAGTGTGGCCCCTCATGAGGAGAGATCATCGTTTACTCTTAGAGTTCTTCTCAACCACATTTATGAAGAGGAAAGTAGGGTGTATTTATGTTTTTAACATTTTTGAATTTTCAGAATGTAAAAAGATATCTAAAAAGATAACCATGCATTACTTTTTTGGGGCATTTACTTGCATACAGCACAATTCTTATATATTACATATCTAACACTTAAACTTTCATATTTACATACGTACCACTAAAATCTTTGACATCATGTAAAAAATTCCGCATTTGTTTTAAAAAATGAATTACACCTTTTCTTGCCTAGATTTTTAATACTAAATTGTTACAAACGTAAATATCAAATTTAGATGTTACATATGTAAATACATAAGATTTGTGTGGTATGAATGTAAATTTTCGTACTTTTTTTTTGTGGTGTATTCCTTTGAATCCCTAAAATAATCTTTATTGATTTTGTGTTTTGTTGTCTCAATTTTGTCTACTGAAGCTTGCGGTGTTCTGTTTTTGCTCTCTCACAGTGCAAAGAGTGAAAATCAGTAATCATATTAGTTTTTCATGACATGGCGGAGAGGCTCCTCTCATATTAGTTTATTATGATTCTGTTAAACTTTATGGATAAACATTCCTTGTGATGTAGTGGAAGGCATGCAATTTATTCTTGTTATGTTAAAGGTGTCTCATGTGTGCCTTTTTTGGCAAATTAGGGGGAGCATTCACCATTTTATTTCAATTATATATATATATATATATATAAATTATTCTCCATAGGGAATTTCAAGACATTGACTGATTGGGAATACTTCTTTTACATTGATGTCATGCACCACCTATATTTATCTTATTGATTATTGCCCCTTGCACTGGAGCATATATGCCATTTTTATATGTTAGAATGAATACCTGTTGTAATGCCAAAATTTCTAGCAAATCCACTAATCACATAGTTTTCCCTCCTTTGTGGGTGTCATTTAACTTAACACCTTGAACTAAACATGAACATACACAATTTATTGAAACAATGAACCTAGAAAGCGTATAAAACCACAACAAGAAAGTAAAATAAAACAAAATACTTAAAAAATCAACTTTTGTGAACTTTGGTGTGTCTGCACTGAGTTGCATTCGGCAAGGTCAGGAGAGGTTACCTTGTCCTTTTCAAAATTTAAACTAAAAAGGTTACCTAAATACCTCGTAATTTAAATATTCCCAAAAATTTCTAACTTGATGCACCCCCCTTTATGATTGATGAAGGGCATTGAACATTTGATTTGCCCCGATAACCCCAAAAAATGGTTCAAAATTATCCGATCATCTATAAATTTAAAATTTTTATATAATATTCTACGGCGCACTAAAATTTCTAAAACTTGAGAGATCCACCTTTATATATTGATGATGGGTGTGGAATCTCTTATCTGTCCTAGTAACCTTGATAGATGTGCCAAAATTAGCACATCACCCTTAATTTGAAAAAAAAATTGTCAAATATTCATCGAACATCAAATTATTATAAAACTAAGAGCCCACTTTCATCATTATCACTATTATTTTTCTAAAGTATATAGGGGTTGTTATTAAAAATTAAAAATTTACCCTCCTTTAATATTATCAAAGAATATGGGCCACTCAAATCTGCTCATCATAGTTCTTCAAAAATTGCTTGGTTGCCTTTGAACTTTTAAAATATTAAATCAAAACAAGTTAGCTCCAATGGTACTTAATAAAGCAATAGGATGATAGAGCTGAGAATCATTGTATTGACTTTTACAATGATTACCTAGCTATGTGCTTCACGAAGACATTTGGTATTGCATTTGCATAAGAAATTAAGGCTAAATTTATAAAAAACTATCAACCAATTGTTGTGGCGATTTTCTCCATACTGGTTTTAAGCTTTTTCTGTGTCATACCTTAGAATCACTGCTGGAATACCTGCTAGTCTCATGGAGCAAACCTTTAGGTGTCTTCATCTTTGGAGTTGTGAGTTCCATCCTTTGACCACTTTGCATTTTGAGTCCTACATATTATTTTTTGGGCTTTCCTAATCCTTGAGGTTATGAGTTTCCCCAAGCGGGTATTCTCATGACATAAATAGTAATCGCCTTGGTTAGTTCAACGCAAAATCAACATGCCCATGCCCACAGATGAAGCCCTAACTCCTCATCCTTGGGGTTTTGGATCCCCACACATGGACTTCTTTAAGAATTCAAATTCAAATCGTATTGGTTAGATCGACACAAAGCTAACTAGCCCATCGGCGTAAGCTTTAACTCTTAAAGTCTTTCTATTTTCAGAGTTATTATGTCCTATTATTGAGCCGTTCTATCTTTAGTATTGTAAATCACACATTCTGGCTTTTATAATTTGTGAGGTTATTAGTTCCACCTTTAGGCTGTCCTTTTTTTTAAGGTTTTAAATTTGACCTTTTGGCTTCTTCATTTTTGGTGTTATGCCTCATTTATGGGTCTTTCATTGAATCTAAGACACAAAGCCAGGTTTAGACACAAAAACAGGTTTAGTTTCTGGCGAAGATATGAAACTCAATCCTTTCAGGTCTTCATAGGATAGAGGACCCCAATCCTCGTCTAGGTTAACCGCAAATTAATATGAGGCTGCAAAATATCATTTCAGGTCGCTTGCTTGCTAGTAAGCTCAAGTCATTTTCAGTTGAACTCTCACGCTTGAAAGCTTAATCTATTCACCTTATACATACACTTATTGACATGTCTAGTCAAACCAATCTCTATGTTTGCCTATGGTGTAAGCTTTAGCTTTCAAGTTAATATGCATGAATGAACTTTACACCTATTAAAGTAGACTTCATTCAATTAGGACATCACTTTTAAGGGTTCCCTTTTTCCGAAAACTAGTGGATACAATGTGAATTCCTCTATGATTGCATATTGGTTGGGTATGTCTTGTGCTAAAATGTCATGTCTAAATCTTATTATGTATTAGATGAGATCAGTCGATCTAGGCGGTAAGTTCAGTTATGATTGAAATCTTGTGTTCATCAGTTTGACTCATGATGACTATGAAATCTTGATTGAGTGGACAATCTATTCATCTTTTTCAATTTAAATGCTGACAAGTTCTATCATAGACAATTAGTGTCCATAGTTGAGCATTATATTTGCTAATAGGCAATCATGTAATTAAGTATGGGTACTTTTATCTTTGATCTCTTAAATATTAAATAAACTCTATTTAACTCGTAGGGAAAATCTATTGGAAACTCAAAGCAATTTACCTATGAAATTCCATAATGCTTTGTCAATGTTTTGTAATAGCAGAAGTTGTGTAAGTCGTTCAAAATTCAAAGATTATATCATGGATCATCAATGGATCAGTATGTTTAAGGAAAATTGAATTTATTTTTCTTATTTATGTTTGAAGATGATTAAAAATGATATTTAAAGTTAGGTTGTTAAGCGTATATTTTCATAGATGACAATTCTAATTGACAGGGCATCTGTAGAAAAAGTATGTAAAGTTAGAACAATGAAGAAAATATTTAAAAATAGAGGATTTGAAATTAGTAGAATAAATATTTAAGTATATTATAGTGTAATTTTAATGAGTGTGATATTAATAATTATCAATCAATATTGTTAGAAAATAAAATGACACATGCGATAGGTATGTTCTAAATTTGGATTTAAGGCTTATAGTTAAAATGGAGAAATTTATCAAAAAATATTTTATGATATTTGGATATCTTGAAAATTTAAAAGATAACTTTAATAAAATTACAGTTAGGTTGGCTGTATTGAATGTGTACTATATTGTAGGACGATAAAGAAATCGTAGCTAACAAGCGTGATAGAAATGATAGTGCTAAGATGGATGAATAAGATATTAGAAAGGATACGTTAAGGATTGATTAAGTTTTGAGGAATGCTTGTCATCGTATCTAATGAAGAAAATGGTTGAAAATAGTTTTAGGTGGTTTGCATATGTACAATGAATGATTAAAAGAACATCCATTAAATACATAAAAGAAAATTTTTAATAGAGAATCACAAAAGACGAAGTGGTAGAGACCTGATTCCTATCATATCATGGAATCCATGCAATCGTTTATTATCCTATCATGGTTTTAATCTCTGCCGAATGTAACTCTCTTTCAAAAACCTTAACCAGAGCATATCGCCCTACCAACAAATCTATGTTATTTGTTATATAGGTTTTGAGACTCTCCGCAGCAACTCAGGATCTACCTAGATCTGTTATTTGCAATGTTCATGGTGTCAACCCTAAATTCCTCGAAGTTGGGGAGATTAAAGCAGCTGAAAGGGATAGTGGGCAGCAGGCATTCTCCAAAGGAGCATACTTTTTGGGTAAGATGGTTTGGGCAAAAGGTTACAAAGAGTTAATAGATTTGTTGGCAAATCACAGTAATGAATTAGAGGGCTTCAAGTTAGATGTCTACGGCAACGGAGAAGACTCCCATGCAGTGCAGTCCACTGCCCAGAAACTGCAGCTGAATATGAACTTTATGAAAGGCAGGGATCATGCTGATGATTCGCTTCATGGGTACTCATAGATTTGCATTTTATCATTTCTGTATATTCTTACGTGTCATCCCTTAGTTTGTTTCTTTTTGTAGGTATAAGGTGTTCATAAATCCCAGTGTCAGTGATGTCCTGTGCACCGCTACAGCTGAGGCTTTAGCTATGGGAAAGTTTGTTATCTGTGCAGACCATCCATCAAACGATTTCTTTAGAGCCTTCCCTAACTGCTTGACTTACAGAACATCAGAGGAATTTGTTGCAAGAGTAAAGGAGGCTCTTGCAAACGAGCCTCAGCCCCTGACCCCTGTGCAAAGGTATAATTTATCCTGGGAGGCTGCCACCCAAAGATTTCTTGAGTACTCCGAGCTTGACAAAGTGCTGAGTAGAAACAATGAAGATTCCATGGAGAGTGGAAAAGCTAATCTGATCTCAAAAATCAAGAAATCAGTTTCATTACCAAGTTTATCTGAAGCAGTTGATGGGGGATTGGCTTTTGCTCATTATTGTTTGACAGGAAATGAGCTCCTGAGAATTTCTACCGGAGCAATTCCGGGCACCAGAGATTATGATAAGCAGCATTGCGTTGATTTGCATCTGTTGCCTCCTCAGGTGCAGAATCCTATATATGGCTGGTAGGCTTTGTTTTCTCTGTAATAGTATTTTCTTCTGTAGCCCTAAGTAAGGTTGAAGAATGCTGCTTTTACCGGCCTATAGGGGCTTCGGCCTTCCCCTGCCCTTTCCCCTGTGGCATTTCTCTGCTATAGTTTGTGGAATTTGATGGCAAGGAGGGATGCTGCAACAGGTAAATTCTACTTCATGTGATATTTTTAATTTTGAAGTACCTAATACAGTAGAATTGTTATTTTTGCAATTTTTAGTGTAAATATAAGTTTTTGATTCTATATTTGTGGTTTTAGTTTATATGGAAATCCATGTATCGAAGTATTAACATTGCGTTTCTAAATAGGCCAACTTGTTTGAGCATCATCTGATTGTTGGAATCAGAGGTCGTGCAAACGTAAAAAATGGTTATCATACCTAAATGCTTAGTTATTGATAGCATCGGCAGACTGTTTGTTGTTTTTTTCTTAGCCTATTTGATTTCCATTGTTAGGTGCATTTACATAAACCACCAAATTATTATCTATTTACACGTATAACACCTAAAATTTATGTTTTGCATTTATACCACCCAAATCTTTCATATCCCATAAAAAAATCCACTAATTTAACCTTTAAAAGGTTAAACACGTCTTTTTATGCATGGGGTGGCATATATTTAAAAATTTAAGTTCAAGTACATGAAATTAAGAGTCCGTTTGGGGCAGCTGTAGATTATTTGTAATATGTTGATAAATAGATTATTCTGACAATTTGATAATCTGCAGATTATCAGGATAAACTGACTGTTGTTTTGTTTTTGGGGGGGGGGGGGGTGCTTATTTAAAACAACTTATTTACAGCTGTTGCTGGAAAAAAATGATCTTTCTACCCTTTTTTTAGAACTGTATGGGTAAAATAATAGATAAAACAGAAGTCGCAAACAATTACAGATCAGTTCAAAAAAATAACATAGAGTGCTCACTCTCTCGTGTGTATTAAAAGAAATAAAATAAAGATAAACATAATTACAATTACAATTAAAAATATTAAAATGTATAATTTAAAACTCTGACAACGTCTGTCCTCAGCTGCATTGCTCTCTTGAGTAATCATTGTACCTCGATCACTGTGGGTAGTGCAATATGTTAAAGTGTTGACCCAACAGAAGAAATCACAAGCTGAAACACACTTACGATAATCGTAGAACTGTCTCCCACAGCTATGAGGCTGATGTGACGTAAGGGAGCCGGTAGTCCGCAGTAACACAAAACAACTTGGGAGGTCTCTGAAATCTTGGAGCTCATGTATCTACAAAGATTAAAAAAAAAATTTGTCAGATTAGAAAATTAAATTAAGTTCTATATAGCTACAAGAGAACCCAATTAAATGAAAATCATATCGAACTAAAAAGTTAAAAAATGTGAGTGTGCGGTCTTAGACAAGTAATTACACCAACCCATGTGTCTGTCACTACAAGGAGACGTTAGACCATCAAATAAATGAGTTATTGGTTGTCTTTAACCCACAAAAACAATTGTTCTGGGATACATGTGCCTATCACAAAAAAAAGCCATATAGTAGATCATGATATACCGTTGCACTAAAAAGAAGAGAGGACCTAGGTTCCTTTCTTTAGGATTTCACACGCAATACCAAAATGATACGTTTGTCATGTGCCAGATGTGCATATCACCAAAAAGGTCATCCACATAAATCCTCATAATTCGATGCACCCAATAGAAGTGAGGATATCAGTTGCCTTCATTAGGAATGCACATGCAACACTAGATAACAACAATGAACCGACCATCCAAAAAAACTCATAAGGCCATATTTTTCATCATTCATCACTGACCTCATACATCTAAAAAAGAAAAAAGAAAAAAAACAAAACAAACAAAGAAAAACAAATTATTATAACATGTCATTCTTATATATTCGAAAGTATAAATGAACAAACGAAATTCTTAATAAAAGCATAAAATCCAAATCCACAATACAACAAAATACATACGAAAAAAAACATATAGTCTAATAAATAAAAAAAGAGTGGGTGAACCGGCAACTACAAATAGTATCTGCGATAGACTCCCTCAAAGCAGCCACAATTTATCGAATGAGCTTTTCACGAAAATGTCCTTATCTTTCCTCTTCCTACCAAGCCTTGACCTCTTTAACAGGTAGCTGGACTCCTTCTCCTTCTGGTTAATACTAAGACCCTTCTGCGTCAGCTGTAACCTGCTCATGTGACAAGTCATCTGGTATGCTAGCAACCACCAACTCACTTGGGTTGAATGCATGCTTTCCCGTCGTGACTATCCTCTTAAACATTATGTCCAGTTTATCTTCAAACTCTGACTCAATTTTGTAATGCTTATATTTTTTTGCTGTCGGCATTGTCTGTAACATGGTATGGGAGGAGACGGTTTAGGTGGCTTATTAGTTAAAAAAATTATGAGAATAAACCAAATGAGAGTATAATTATTACCTCTAATTTCTCAACTATCATTTATCTGGAGCATCGATTGTTCGCTTAATGGGATCCCAATCTAACCTGGTGGATCCACGTTTCAGCTCTTTCCAAATGTTCTACTCATTCAATTAATCCCATTTGTTTTTTAAATTTTAGTCTGTCGTAATCCCTTCCCGTCAATTCTTTGAACTTTTTCACAATATTTTGTCAACCCTCATTGTTAAAATACGTGGTTGACCTATTTATGATATCAATTTTTTTAATGCAAAGATTGCAAAAAATGTACGTTACTTCTTTATCCCACATTACTGACAGACCCCCTTCACTCGTCTTAGCCATATATATACTAATTGAAGAACGCGACAGTTAAAAAAAATAACTTAAAACATATAAAAAAAACTCAACATTTTGGACTATTACATAATGAGAATGAAAAAAATCGTTTTACAAACCAATAATAAGAAAAGAGAGGATAAACGATAACAAGGAGGTGCTCCATCAAATAACAAAAAAAAAATATATATATACAATGGAGATATCATCATATTAATTACACACTTCAAAAACCGTAAGCAAAAACTTTAACTAGCATGTGAAAAAAAGCATCATTTTGCGAGACAAAGATCAAAAGAAATAGCATAAAGAAATGCACAATATAGGCTTGGCATTTGATCAATAATAACTAGGGCTTCAACATCATATCAAAAAAATTAAAACTGTTAAAGAATGGAATCTATTGTTGCACGTAGTAATCCAATGACAATCCAAGCTACTCCATAAATTTATCATCAAGATTAGCATAAGAAATCTGTTAAAGAATAAATAGCAGTAATCCAATGACAATCCAAGCTGCCCGATAAATGATAAGCTGCGACACATATTCTCATAAGAAAATTATCACCAAGATTAGCATGACATCAAGATAAGCCTTTATAAACTTAAAATATCTTCACGGCTTAACAGGAAAAAACCTCATTTTATGTTCATTACTCCCGAGCACAAAACATAAAACAAACATTCATTATGTTTAGATATGATGAATGACAAGTTTGCAGTTATTAGATAAAAGGTTACAATTTCATGCTACATCAAAGAACTCATAAAATCAAAGTATGATAATTTTTTTTCTCATGAATCCATACATCGGCCTATGAGGCTTTTTATGGCCTAATATTACAATAGTGTCAATACAAAGAAGTAAAGAAAGAGAATGCCATAAAATTAGGGAACCCATGTTTCACTTCTCCCTTCATTAGGCTAGTGGGGAAGTTTTCTAAAGGTTGAAGAATATAGGACATGGATTAATTTTTAACTATAAACATTCTTTTCAAGAAGAGTCACCTAGCTTTTCCAAGCTATTGGGAGTTTTCTTCCTACTAAACAATTACTAATGAGTGCTTCACAGCATTGTCCATCCAATGTTTGCTATACACATAGAGCAAATATTCATTCTAATTCTATAGCTTATGGGGATTTTAAACTGTTTAAGCATTAAAAATAAAAAGGAGTTCAGCTCCAAATCCCCTAATTATAATGTGTTTACCTATCCAATATCTTGAGTTTATTCATATATGGTACATCTCTAATCTGAAAGCAAAATAACATCTGGAGAATAAGAAGCAAATATATTTCATAATTTCTGTATTTATAAACTTTGGTTCGAAGAAAAATACTTTCTCATCAATTTCATCTTCCAGGGAAATTAAATAGAACAAGGATAAAGAAGAAGAGCTCGTAAAAAAAAAAGAGCTCGAAAAAAGCACAGGTCTTGCAATGAACCAAACATCAATTTTCCATAAAAAGGACACATTGAAATGTTTCAAATATTAGAAGCCAACACTTCAATTCCTCTGTATTCACAACTAAGTGGATGCATGTATGTAATGACATATTATGCAACAATTAAATTGCACTTATACTCCTGAACATAACAACATTATTTAGAACAAAGAAATTTTCCGAATGAAATGTTGTAATGTTATCCAAACATCAATTTTCCATAAAACAATATTCACATGTAGCATAATATGTCCATTGCTACATTCCATAACCATGAATACATTGTGTTCCTTCATTTGGTGACCATACATTCTAACAATAGCTGTTTTGGATTAATTTTCTTGGTTGTAAATCTTAAAACAACCTTAGTATTTTGCAAAAAACAATAGAAATACATGTCATAAAATTCAACCTCTTACTAATAACAATTTATAGAGGAATCCAAGTTTTTAAGGAAGTAGAGTTCCATAATATAATGCGAAGGTCCATTTCCATTCATGCCACCCAATTCCAATGCCTTTTACATGAATAAAACCTAAAGTTTACTTCTTATTATGGTGAATGGTAAAACAAATCAACATCTTCATGCAATTTACCAAAATCGAAGGCCACCCGCAACAAAATTCATTAAACCTTTCCAAGTAGTCACTTTACCAAAACTGAAAACCACCACTATTGAATTCATCGAACTTCCCAACCATGTCATCCTACCCATGTATATTATGCATGCGATAGCATGACTAGTAGCCAACAACCTTTCCAACAACATGACTTGCACGCATAATTTAAAACCAGTCTTTCAAACAAGCAGTAAACAACCACCAACTCTAACAAACATGCCAAAGCATGGGGTTTAACATAGAAATTGAGAAGCACAAGGCCAAAGGAATGAAAAAAAAAAAAAAAAAAAAAAAAAAAAACCAGAACCATATTGAATAAAAAATCATCAAGCCATCGTGAGTGAATTGCAATGGCTTATCCATGACTATTTGCCAACCCCTACGATGCAAAAAAAGTCACCAAAATGTAATAAATATGCTGTAAGATAAGTCACATAAGGGGCAACACATGGATCAATCCCATGCTCAAGAAAATTAACAAATAGAGAAAGCACAAGGTTCATTTCC